TGAAATTTTGTTCTGTGTATGGTCATCTCCAATAAAATATACGTTTCTTCGCGTCGTAGTTGACTTCCATTACCGTTCTTCGTTGTGTCCACGTTCTTCCTTCTTTCTCCATACTCGCTAAGGAATACAAATCCTGGAGGAGTCATTTAAGGGTGATCCATATCTGCTTCTGCTTCAGGATACGAATGCCATTTCTTTTATTCGAGTGATTCGGGCGTTGCTTCGTTTATTCGAATCAAAATACAAGTCACACCCCTCAATCTGTCTATCTTCCGTGTCAGTCCAACTTTCGCAGTCACAACCGGTGATCATGAACTATTCTTATAACATGCCCATGAGCGAGGGTATAATCGAATCACAAACGAACAGGCACTGATGACAGTCGTTCTGAGATTCCCTGCTAGAACTCAAAAGCCTATGAAACACATTACCTGACCAAGCGGTCCTGAGAAAAACCGGAAACTTTTCCCTATGGAAACCGTCCAGGATATACAGAGGCGTTGAAGGACAATTAAGCAAGTGAAATTTGTTCAAACAATTAAATTCGAATTATTGATTTAGGTACACAAACGAAGTAGTAACTTTAAATTGCAACATCCGTACATCAGTACTCATTTATTTTTAACTTACAACGCAATCTCACACCAGTTCTGTGATCCGACGAAGGCACGGTCTATGTCCAAAAATTGACTTCAAATTAATCTCGAAACAAGCATGGCGACCACACAGTACGGACACAAGCATATTTAGTAGGACAGACTGTTAAAACTCGTTTCAGGGCTTTGCACTACATGCTCTGAACCAACAGTGGAGCAAGGCACTCGCAAACGGAGCAACATATTGAACAATTACAACATTCCTCCATACGATAGTACTGTATATCACCTGTCACGTAAAGCATCACCTAATCCATGCATGCGCTGCAAGTCTTCTACAATGAAGCTATAAGAGGATCAATCAGCACTCTTTTTCAACCAAAAAACTCGAATATTTCAAACTAATCCGCGATCATAAAAAGTGATGAGTTCCTAGTGAATGAACACGTTTTCTCCACATCTGACCCGTTCGCTGCTTTTGAAGCTCTTAGAAAATCGCGTAAAAATCCTTCAAAAAATCGCATCCCAAACGCCTCAATCAATTTATATACCGTGCGCCCCTTCCAACTTTCAAGTCTATAAATCGCAACTGACCAAACTGACTTGACATTATTAACCAGATTTAATTATGCTGACTTCTCCAGATAACCGGCCTATCTCATCGCTACGCACAATAATAAGTGTCAAAAAATTTTTAGTGCAAATCTCAGGCACTTTTAGCTTCGTGATAAACGGGTTGCATGGCATACATGGTTAAAACAGTACTCAAAACCAGTAATCGACAAAAGATGTCGAAGATGAGAGTATAAAACGATACTTAACGGCGGATAAAACTGAACATCGCTTGCGCAACACCGACCTTACACCTTTCAAGGACACAGTATGCGGCGTAAAATCGTACAGCATGCCGTATACCCTACGAACAGACGAATACATGTAACTGTAACGCAATTGGTAACGCTTATTTTTCAGTATGATACGTACAACAGGAAACATTAGCCGTTAAAATGTCAAAGACGGTAGAAAAAAATTTATTCCAAACAAACTAGATTGAAGAGTACAACGTCAAAAGAGTCAATAAAAACAATAAAAAAGATTTTTATTCACTAGAAAAATTGATTATTCCTGCCCTTGCTGACTATTAGGAAGATTCAAAGGGCTCGTATCCAAACTTTTTCACGTGCAAGATGCGCCTTGCCGCCTCAAACTTGCTGTTGTGGACGTACGAATCGCAGGCATAGCACCATACCGAAAAATCAGTCACACTCAGAGCCAAAGCGTGGTGAGTTGTTGCGAAGTGAAATATGCCATGCTGGTTAACATAGCGTCCGCAGAACGTCTAAAATATACGCATATAGTATTCAAAGTTTACTAAGCATCACTAAACATTCTGATATATATACACATCGGTTTCAACATGTAGCATAAACGGATTTTACGCAGTTAAATCTCTAAAGCCCTGTTATTTACATCACTTCTGGAACAAACCAGTACCTCAACCACTATATTATCAAAAAGTTTGGCGCGATACCCACACTTTTGACAAAACAATTGCCATACCTCATAACATATGAGGCACGTCCAGTTTTCACCGATGTTGGAGCACAAACTGCACAACGCGTCGGGGTCGATTTTGTTTCTGACAACCTCCGTCGTCGTCGAAACATGTTCGCAGGAAGACAAGGGGACGACGGAGTAAAGTCGGCAATCAATTTTGCTGGAAGTCGATACGCAGTCCAAAAAATTGTGCCTCAAAGACACGGGTATAAATATGGACTGCAGGGCAGGGTAGTAGGCTCTGGCGATCAGCACTGCGTTCGACACAGCCAAGATTGTATCATCATGTACAACATCTTGGTCCTTCAAGACGACCTTGTACGACGACAACCGCTTCCCTGGGCAACCCAACACAGACAGCACCCCAACAGCGACGTACTGCTGCAGTGAATGAAGCGCGTCACTCTGAAAAGCTGAACGATTACTAAAGTAGAAGAAACCAGCAGCAGCCCAAGAATCACCTTTTCCTCAAACGTCGCATTCAGAAATACCATGACTCGGCCAG